GGAAAAATAAGGGGAGAAAAAGGGAAAAGCTTGCTCAAAGTGCTCTTTAACAGTCTAAGCTGAACAGTCTACCAAAAGGTCACATCTTTAGGGTTTCACAAATACCAAATTTTAAGGGGGCAGCACAAGCAAAGCTGAGCTTTGGAAATAACTTGACAACTTTCATTAAAACTCCATTTGCTAGTGTCTATTACTTATCCAAGATTCCTACCTCAGGACAGCTGGAAGGTAATGGATCAGTGACACTGATGAGAAAACTGGAAGTGCCTTTGGGAATGCAGTATTGGTGCAGTGATAAGAAGGATTCTCACTACATGCCTGGCCCCACTATGCCCGGTGCATACCCAACTGGTTCCTGCTGGGGATAGTCTGCTGGGAGCCAGGTCAGGAGTCTGGCATGATACTTCCCGTTCTGGTGGTCAGAAAGCTGGGGCATGTATTGACAAGCTCTCAGTCAAGTTTGAAACAAGTTAGGATACATTCCAGCTTGTTGCAACGTTGACAGCTTCATCTAACACTTCTGCATCACAGTCAAGAAAGCAAAACTGTTAAGTGCTGTATCAGTAAAGCAGAGTCTGCAGCACGGGCCACAGCAGTGTGCTGGTTGCAGCTGCCAGAGCATGGGTCTTCCAAGGGAGAGTCCACGTGCATAGAGCAGTCCTTAAGAATGCAACTGCAGCTTCTTCCAGAGCATCAGGGGACTCTGTCAGGCTAAACACTACATTTTTGTTTTGCAAGGGAGTTTAAAGGGCCAGGCCTTCCCTGAGTCACAACAGAAATTATTCTTCCCAAACTCCTTTTTAAACAGATTCCAAATTTTTACACATCCTTCCAAAGCTGATAATCTTACAGCCTCAAATTTGCATTGCCTAACTGGCAATGGTTGCTAAATATGGCTGTGAAGGGAGAGAAAGACGAGAAGTGGAGAAAGGAAACTGTGGCTAAGTTTTCCCATCATAATTTCAAGCAGATGCTTTTGCTCCATTCTCACCCAAAAAGGATGCAGCTTACCCTAAAGGAACATGCCACCTCCAAGCATGTGCCAATGTGGAGCACAGCAAGATGAAGCGTGGCCAATGCTGCAATCTTTGGGATTTGCATCAATTTACATTTCCTTGACATGGCATTCCTACTGCTGTACTCAACTCAGGAAAGTGATGAGCTCGCTCCTAAAGACAAGGGGGTGACACCATGTGGCTTCTGGCTGGACACACTGTTCTTCACACTGCCTGCTTGCAAAGCAGAGTGTCACTTACCTAAAAACAAATGGGTTAGTGCTCTGCAGGCTTGCTGAGGATCTGCTGCTCCCACCCATTTCATCAGAGATTCACTAAAACAGTCAGTGGAGTGAACAACCAGCAGGCTTTGCCACCTTCCTTTACATTAGACAGATGTCAAAGTACACAATCCTAGTCACACCAGGAGTGGTGTGAAATACAACGGCAGGTAAAAACAAAACAAAAGCTACAAGAACTAGCCCAAAACAAAGATCTCATATGTATAACACAAACAACAGAACAGCAGCAGGTTTGCTGCTTTGAAAGGAGTATGAGCAAAGGTTGAGAGAACTGGGGCTGTTCAGCCTGAAGGAGACAGAGGGGGGCTCTCATTAACACTTGTAAATATGTAAAGGGTTTGTCAAGAGGATGGGACCAGTCCCTTTTCAGCAGTGTCCAATGACAGGACAAGAGGCAATTTCAAGTTAAACATAAGGAAAAACTTCTTTATATGAGGGTACCAGAGCACCGGAACAGGCTGCCTAGAGAGGTTGTGGAGTCTCCTCAGATGTGTTCACATGTAATCTACTGCAGGTGATCCTGCTCCAGCCAGGGGTGTTGGACTTGCTGATCTTCAGAGGTCCCTTCCAACCCTGACCAGTCTGTGAGTAAAACCCACACTATACCGTACTTAGCCCTCAGCACATTCCCCTTACCCCCACTCTTTCAAGAGAAGCACCTCTCCCCATACAAAAAAACCAACTGTGAGTCACAATTGTTATGCTGCCTTTTATCATCCACTGCATAAGATACTCTCGTAAAGCTTTTATAGTTTTTGTTTTGTTTTTAAGAGGGACATGCCCTCCCTCACTTTCACAATGAATTAGCTGCCATCTGTTAAGTGATTGAGAAAAGAAATGGTAATCCACACCAAAAGTAACTGCTTGGTTTTATCACGTTTCCAGCTTAAAAAGAGCATCTGGCTATTTATTATAAAATTTGAGATGCCTAGTGCACCACTTTTGTCTTTTCTATAGGGCATTTGCCATATCCATATAGATTGTTTGCTTTTATCAGGAAGATATGTAATGTAAGAGGCAATTACAGAACCACAAAATCGTCATGGTCATCAAATCATCAAATTATCCTGTAATACCTAATTATGCTGCAATTGAATAAAACCTTTTTTTTTAATTTTCAAAAGAAAAGCTATTTAGACTTACAGTCCTATCCTACATGCATGTCTGACATGAAGAGGACTGTCTATTAACAGCAGTGTGGAATATTTTCTATTTTAATATTTTTCTTATCACCACAAGTGTGTGTGGATCCATTTGCACCATTGTAAGACACCACCTACCACTTACATATACCTTGTGTTGGTTTATGTGAACCAGGGGGTGGAACAAAGGTGAAACAACAACCCCAGACTCCAGTATCTTATTTAAGGCCTGTCAAGACCAAGATCAAGTTGAGATGTCGACTTCCTTCTCAGTTCAGCTGTGCAGAAAATTGCCTTCTGTTTTATTCCTGTGCAGGTACCAAGAACATAAACTGCATCCTCTGCACTGAATGAAGCAAAAGTGTCATGGAGAGACATCTAATCTTCATTAAATGTGAAGCTAATGAAGATTCACTGGATCGAATAACCAGGTAACCATTTTCTTCGCTTGATTTTATAACCTTCAAATACTTCATTTATAATTATTTTAGGGGTTTCTTTTAACCTCACAACAACTTATTTTGCAAGATGCAGCGAGGTTTCTGGCAGTGCTTTGCTAAGCTGACAAAAACCAGACACTCGAGTTCCTTACTGTGCTTGACATGATACAAATCTGACTTCAAAGTGTATCTGAAAGAGGAAGCTTATGCTAAGCTTGCAGTTTTAAGCATAAAGATGACAAAACAATATTACTAGGGCTTTTACAGCACAGCTAAACTTGCCTTTTTGACAAAGATCACCAGCAGACTTATGATTAGTTAAGATCCAGCACAAGCTATATTTAAAACCTCTGTATGTTTATGAACTATAAGCACCCCAACAGAGTTTTCTTTGAAATTCCTCAACAAAAAACAAGCCAGCTTTGAAGGTTTTCAGATCACAGAAGAAATGCAAATCATTTTCATATTCTTCTTCATCTTAACTTAGAAGCATTTTATTGTGGACAGGAAACCTGATGTAAGTTACAAAGAACAAAAGAACAATTTAGGTCTTTGCTGATCTTCCTCCTTTTTTGTACAAACAATTACATCACTCATGCTTTAAACAAGTGTAGATCTATTCTATTGCTAGTATGAATGACCACAGTGAAAATTTTGGGACTTTTTTAATCTTGAGGAAATGTTTAAATTTAAAAAACCCAGTTATTTCCAGGAATATTCTGCACAGCATTACAAACAATTCTTCCAGTTACTTTCAACAATGCTCTTTCATTACACAGAATATCAAATTACAATGAATACACCTTATTGATATTCCTGAAGATCAACTTAAAGTTAAAACATGAGGAGTTCTTCTCCAAATATATATATATATAAAAATATAAATTATATAATCAAAATATATTGATTATAGGTCTCCCTCTCATAAAACCTCTGTATGTTTATGAACTATAAGCACCCCAACAGAGTTTTCTTTGAAATTCCTCAACAAAAAACAAGCCAGCTTTGAAGGTTTTCAGATCACAGAAGAAATGCAAATCATTTTCATATTCTTCTTCATCTTAACTTAGAAGCATTTTATTGTGGACAGGAAACCTGATGTAAGTTACAAAGAACAAAAGAACAATTTAGGTCTTTGCTGATCTTCCTCCTTTTTTGTACAAACAATTACATCACTCATGCTTTAAACAAGTGTAGATCTATTCTATTGCTAGTATGAATGACCACAGTGAAAATTTTGGGACTTTTTTAATCTTGAGGAAATGTTTAAATTTAAAAAACCCAGTTATTTCCAGGAATATTCTGCACAGCATTACAAACAATTCTTCCAGTTACTTTCAACAATGCTCTTTCATTACACAGAATATCAAATTACAATGAATACACCTTATTGATATTCCTGAAGATCAACTTAAAGTTAAAACATGAGGAGTTCTTCTCCAAATATATATATATAAAAAAATAAAAATTATATAAATCAAATATATCTGATTATAGGTCTCCCTCTCATGCTTTTATACCTTAGGAGCTTTGCATGAGCATTTACCAACACCAGGACAATTACCAGCTGTTGTCCAGTTCCCACAGCAGTGATGCAGATGGTTTCACTACCAGAATAAACAACACAGGCACATTTTAGAATCATTGCTGGAAACTACTCAGGACTTAGAGGTGTTGAAACCTATTTTGTCCATCAGCTCCTACAGCTGAATCACTGAAAATACATACAGATTCTAAATATTTGAAGGCTATAAAATCAAGCTGAGAAAAGGGTTGTATTTTTGAGATTTGTGAAAACATGCTTTTTTCCTTTTTTCCCCTAGGAAATACAGCTTATAGAAAGCACATCATAATACAAACAAAAATCCCATCCTCAGCAACTGTCTACACCTTTCTTTCCAGAGGCTGGGCAGCTGCTTTTAAATGACAAGAAACAGATTTGGTCATACTGACTTCTTGTATTCACCTTCAACACCCGTTCACTATGTCTTAAAATATAATTCAGCCAATAAAAATATGACTTCAAATACTATTTCCTTAATGGAACAATATTTGATAATCTGGAGAGTTTTGCATGGGCTTGATTAGATCCAT